CATAGCAATTACGCTAACTGCTGGTCCCCACAATCTGTCTTTTAATTGTTGCTTGGAGTGAATGTAATTATTGATGTATTTGAGATTTGTTATTTCATCTTACGTGGCTATTTATTTTCTGTTTGTCCTACTTGTTCTTTGTTCTGTTCCTTTCTCTCACTTCTTGTCTTCTCTCAAGTATTTCCTCCTCTAATAGGACATCAAGTAATTTTCTTAACATTCTTTCAATAGTTACCCTAGAATTAACACCATGCATCCCTGACTTGGTAAAGTCTAACATAAATTAATACTTCCCACATGGCTCCAGTATCACGAGGCAGTATCCTGTCCCCTGCACCACCACACTGGGCAGTATCGTGTCCCCTGCACCACCACACTGGGCAGTATCCTGTCCCTTGCACCACCACGCTGGGCAATATTGTATACCCTGCACCACTGTGCTGGGCAGTATCGTGTCCCCTGCACCACCACGCTGGGCAGTATCCTGTCCCCTGCACCACTGTGCTGGGCCAGCATATTTCCTTAACAAATTATGTGTTAGAGCTTTTCTTCCCAGACACTTTACATCTATCTGCACATGATCATTCTGGCTGTTCTTTATTTTTTCCTGTAACTTGTTCTTCTAGCATAATTTTCCTTCCTTATTTCCTTAAACACTGATGTTTTCATGACCTTTTGGGTATGGTAAGTGTAACTTGCCACCCAAGTTTTGCTTTTTCCTGCACATGGATAACTAGTCCGTGCACCGTGTACTGAAGAATTCATCTTCTGTCTGCTGCTTCTGATACTGGAGATATGTTTTGTGACCACATTGCTGGTTAATTTTTGAACTCTTAGTATTGTGCCATTGTTCTGTCTGTCTCTCTCTTTTACTACCAGTTTTCACTCAACCTACCAATACCACGGTTTTAATTATTGTATTTTTATAGTAAATATATATGTCTATAAGATTACCTTGAATATTTTAGGTTTCTTACATCTTCATATAAATTTTATAAGCATCTTACAATGTTCCAAAGAGATCTTTTTAGAATTTTTATTGAGTTTACATTAACTCTGCAGATCAGTTTTGAGAAAAATTATACTTCTGCAATATTAGGTCTTCTAGTCCAAGGACTTACTATATTTCTGAACTTATTTAGCTATATTTTATATCTTTATAAGAAAATTATGATTTTTAAAAGTAAACCTTTTACTTTCTTTGTCAGATTAATTCTTAGATACATTTTATTTTTTTTAAAGATTTTTGCCATAGAGTATGTGTGCTTGTGGGAGAAAGACAGAGAGAGACAGTGAGAGGAAAGTGAGAAATCACTTTCCAGGAGTGGTGGCCATACCACAGATCCTTTTCCATTCTTCCCTTAAGATTTCGGGCATGAATACACATGAGTTTGGTGCAGTTTTTCAAGCTGCCAGGTCTGGGAATTGAACTATGGTTTGCCATGTGGGAGTTCTAGCACTTTAACTGCTATGCTTTCTTCTAACCCTAGATTCTTTATATTTTTTGATTCTATCATTAATGGTTTAAGTTAGTTTTCAGTTTCTTACTGTCATATTGAATTTTAATCCATTTTTATTAAATATATTTGTAATTAGCAAACTTGCCGTATTCTATAATTTACCCATAGAGTTATTTAGATTTTCTATGTATATGAGCATATTCTATAGATGATGATAGATATTCAATAAAGTGAATAGATTTAGTGATGGTGGGCACTCTTATCTTTTATTGTTTTATTAATTGTGATTGTTTAACTTTCAGATATCCCTTATCTAGTAAATCTAAAGGATTTACCTTTTACACTCTATACTCTTTAATTTGATAAGAGCTTTTACGTACTCTAGTTAGCTTCTTTTTGCCAACATTATGTTTAAGAGATTCATCAGTATAGTAATATTTAGTTTTAGTTGATCCTCATTGTTTTTAAAATATTTGTTTTGGGACCAGCAGACAGCATAATTGTTACGATGCTGAACGCCCACAGGCAGACCTCAGTTCTAGTCCCGGACCTGGAGGCTTGAAACTCAAGCCAGGCGTGTATGTGGACATGCCCAAAATCCCAAGAGGAGAATGGAGGAGAAGGGATTGCACCTGGCCATCCCTCTTTAGGGGTGATTTCTCACTTTCTGTCTCTCTCGCAAGTACATGTACCCTATAGCAAAAAATCGCTCTTAAAAAAGGAAATTGTGGGTCTAGCAGATAGCATAATGGTTATGTCACTGTACTCCGACATAGTCGACCGCAGTTTGAGTCCTGGATCCTGAGGCTTAAAACTTACCCTGAGTGCATGTGCTTCCATGTCCAAAACCTCGAGAGCAGAATGAAGAAGAGATTGCAGTGTGGCTACCCCCCAAGGGGATGATTTCTCACTTTCTGTCTCTGTTTCTCTGATAAAAGCATGTGTCCTCTAGCAAAAGTATCTCTAAAAAGAAAAGAAATTACTGTACGACGATAGCCAAATATCCATTCTACTATAAATGAATATATGGTGTGTAGCTGTTTAACTTGTTTGTCTTTTCCATTATACTGTGAGATTCGTGCAAACTTGGACTATATCTTATTCCTGGCTTATGGTGCACAGTACATATATATATATATAGTAGGTCATTAAATATTACTAATTTTTTAATGTTTCCTTTTTACATAAATTATTGCCAACAGACAGAAGGAGGCAGGGGGAGGGAGAGAGGGAAAGCACCCTACAGTGGGGATGTGGGGATGTGGTCATGCTTCAACCCCTTCTCTTTCATTTCGCCATCCTTTGGGATTTGGGGGATGCACGCACTCATGCCGGTGTTTTTCAAGCCACCTGCCAGGACTTCAACCGTGTTGTCAACCACATGGGATCTGGCTCCAATAGCTAACCAGGCCATGTGACCAGCCTGAATAATTCTGAGTGTTAATGCAGTCATCACACATATTGGGAATATTTGAAATGAGATTAAAGTATTTTAAAATTTATAAATTCAAATGCTATTTTTTTTAGTTCCTGCTTGGGTTGATAACATTCTTTATAACAAAACTGATCTCCACTCTTTCTTTTTTTTTTTCTTTTTTTTGGGGGGGGGAGGAGTGCGTGCACTCGCCAGAAAGACGGAGAGAAAGAAAGTGGGAAATCACCCCCCAGAGGGGATGGCCACGCCGCAATCCCTTCTCTTCCATTATCCTCTCTCTCACGCACGCACACACACCCAATGTGAGTTTAAGCCACCGGATCTGGGACTCAAACTGCTGTCGACTACATGGGAGTCCAGCGACATAGCCATTACGCCAACTGCTGGTCACATGCTCTCCACTATTTCTTACTGTCATTTATTATTATGATATATTTGTACATTTGATGAAATGTAATTACTTTTTTTATATGTTTTTTATTGTCATTTTACTATTTAATTTCTCTAGAGTGTACATATTTCTTGATCTTGGGCACGCACGCACACGCGCCCGGCGTGAGTTTTAAGCCACCGGGTCCGGGACACGAACCGCGGTCGACTACGTGGGAGTCCAGCGACATAGCCATTACGCTAACTGCTGGTTCCCTAGAGTGTACATATTTCTTGAAGTGAGAGATTCAGTCATCTCTTTCAGCATACCCAGTATAATACTAGGCTGTTCAATTAACATTAATTCATTTGGGTAAACAAAGTCTTACATATAGGTAAGTGACTACACTAGTTCATGGTTGAATTTGTTCATCAGAAGAGATATTTTTGTTTGTTTTTCCTTGTACCAGAAGGCTCATGCATGTGAGAGAGAGAGAAAGAAGAGAAACACCACCACCTCAGCGGTGCCTAGACCCATCACAATCTTTTTTCACCCCCAGTTCTCCATTCTATCATTTTCCGGTACACACACTGCTGCTTGCCTAATATGTTTTCACAACACCAACGTGAACTCTGGTTGTAGGATCTGGCCTCCTCTGTGCAGCACCTAACTGCTACAACTGTGGGGCTAGCCCAGAAGCAACTTCCTTTTTAATAGGAATTTTAAAAATATGTTGTTTTATTTGCTCACAGAATGAAGGCAGGAGATCTTTTAAAATTGATAATGAGGATGAACCACATACTTCTAAGAAAGATGAGGTTGATCGAGCCGTAATATTATTTAAACCTATGGTATCAGAGCCAATTCATATACACAGGAAGTCTCCCCTGCCAAGATCTAGGAAGATGGTTACAAACGAAGTAAGTATGTATGGGTATGTTTTTCACAAAGTAAAACTAACTATATTTTAATAAAACAGAAAAGAAAATACAGCTTTAATGACCGGGCTTAAGAACCTAACAAAATTTTAATCGTTGACTGTCTATTTTTCAAATAAATTTCAAAAATGATAGAAACAGTTAGAAAATATAAAAGTTTTAGAGTTTGGAGCCTTATGTATAATTTTTTAAAACAAAATTGAATATAGATATGAAAGATAAGGCCTTTCTTAAACTGATTGTTTTTTTTTTTTTTTGTCTTGTCACATTAGGTTAGTCTTCAATTAAAAAAATTTAGAAGTCCAATTTAATGGATCAGGAAAAATTTTTGATGGAAAGTTGGGAGGAATTGCCAGAGCTGCTTCAGCATTAATTGATTCCAGTGACACTGTAGGTTAAGATATAAATTCCAAATTATTAGCCCGATCAGAAAATATGTATAGAGTTGGAAAACATGATATAATTGAGAAATTTTTTTATTAAGAGCTTTAATTAAATAGGTTAGACTAATCTGTATGTTCACTAATAGAAAAATATTTAAATAACTATTAAAATAACATTTGAAAGGAAAGTTGAATAGTTGGGATAAAGCTTGTTAAGTAAATATACATTTTTATACTTTAAATAACCTAGTTTTGGTTATCCATTTTGTCTGTAGAATGATTCTCCTAGCACTAATTGAGATCAGTGCTTATAAATGTTTTCTAAATGCTCTAGTAAAATTACAAAGCAGAAATTAAGATGGAAGGGATCATCAACTTTTAAGAAAAGTTTTTTGTTGAAATTTTAATACACCAAATCTGAAGTATTAGGTATAACATTTTATAGTAGTTGGCAACTACTATAAAACTACTAGGAAAACTATTATCAATAAAGTAGGTTTTTATTTTCTTTTTGGAGAGGTTTTTGCTATAGGGCACGTACCTGGCCTGAAAGACAGAGACAGAAAGCAAGAAATCAACCCCCCCCCCCCCCCCCGGGGAGGATAGCCACGCCACAATCCCTTCTCCATTCTTCTCTCAGGATCTTGGCCATGCACGCACCCACGCGTGGTGTGAGCTTAAGCCACCAGGTCTGGGACTTGAAGCGCAGTCAACTACATGGGAGCCCAGCAACATAGTCATTATGCCAACTGCTGGTCTCTAAAATAGATTATTATATCTTTATATTGGAGATTGTATACTAGTTAAGAGCTCCCTTGAATATGGTATTATAAGTTAATTATAAAAGAAATATTTTTTTTTAAAAAAAGAGGGTGGTTAACAATTACACAATATGGGATTAATTCTTCTATTGTAGCTTAATTGAAAAATGAAATACCTGGGGTTATATTTATTACTCTTATTTCAGAAAATCAGGAAATGACTTATATTAACATAAGTGACCATCTGTGTAAGGGCAGTGCTTTTGATGTGTTGTTAAATTTCACTGTTATACTCTCTTTGTCCTCAAAGCTTGTGTAACACTGGAACAATAAAAGGTATTGAGTCTTCATTTTGCAACTCATCAACATTTATAAAACCTTCAACAAAATCATTGCCCTTGTTTACTCTGACAATACAAGAGACATTTATAAACCTTTTTCTCATGAATACTTAAATAGTTTATTGTAAGAAATTATTTCTATGCCATGCTAAACTTTTACTTTCATAAGGTAAATTATTCAAGTAAAACCTTGAAGACTTTTTCCAGCATCCACCATCTCCATGGATATCAGAAGTTTGTACTTCCAAAAGACATACAGAGAAAAAGACTATTCTCTTCATTTTGTGCAAGTAGATTTTACTCTGTCCTCACTGTCTAAACCTGAACATGCAAACATGTAAAATGAGGATGTTTGCTGCATGTGTTGCCTACCAAACTCTAATCTTTGGAGGGGGTAAGCAAATAAGTAGCTTGAAAGTATAAATATGGGTGATTTGAGTCTATCTTGTGATCTCCAATTTTTTTCTATTGTCTGGCGGACAGATTTTTCTTTGCTATGTTATATACATTGAAATATCTCTAACTCATTGCACAGTTCTTTAGTGCTTTAGGTTGAAGCATTTGCTAAAAAAAACCCACAAAGTCCCTTTAATATCTACAATTAAATAGAATACTTTTATATTTTAAAAAATTGCTAAAAATGAAACATTAAAATCTCAATTTTAAGAGGGAAGGGATGACTATTAAACAGTTGAAATATTTTGTGTTTTGAGGTAATAAGATATTTCCGTTACTGTTATCATATAGAATTAAATTTATCATTTTTATTAGATTCACAAATATAAACATATTTGGCTCCCAAATTATTGTTTTATAGTTTCTTAAAAATTGATAAGCAAATGCAAACTGTATTTTTTTTTCTTTCTGATCATTTGGCTCTGTTGTATCTAACTTTGCATGCTCTGCTTTTTTTTCTTTTTTTTTTGTTTGTTTCTTTTTTTTGCCCCCTTTCTCACTTCCAGGAAGAGAGCCCCCTGAGTGTGTCTAGCCCAGAGGGTACTGGTACCTGGCTGCATTATACCAGTGGTGTGGGTACTGGGCGTCGAAGACGCAGATCAGGGGAACAAATCACTTCTTCCCCTGTCTCCCCCAAATCATTGGCTTTCACATCCAGTATTTTTGGCTCATGGCAACAGGTTTTTAAACTTTACTTCATTAAACATTTTTCCTCCCTGCATTCAGAGCAACAAACAGCTGTCTTTGAGGACATCTAATCCCTTGTATTTTACATCAGAGTAATTCCTTCTGGTTTTAAATTTTGAGTTCATTTAAAAATACTTGTGATATCTGACAACGTTTGAGGGAAAGAAGCCACTTATATATCATGTGGCTAGCATTTTTTACTTGGAAAAAAATGAAATATCCAGGATTAAAAAAAATTAGTAAATATTATTCTTCTGGAACTTTAGCTTGTTAATAAATTTATCTAAAAAGGAAAGAATTTTTTCTTCTGATGTTTGTTCCCTAAAGATTCATGTAAAATTATGAAATTTATTGGTAGGATATGTAATCATTTTTTTTTCATAGTTGAAAAATTATATTCCATTGGAATTAGCCAAAACTGTGAACATATGTTAAAATTTCACAAGTTACGAGAGATCTTCAAAAAAGTTTGTGGAAAATGTAGATTGTAGATTTCAAATTTTTTGCACCAAAATAAACTGATGTTAACTTACTATAACTGAATAAGATCTAGTTTGAGGCACTAAGAAGGATAAGACATTGGTTTGAAAAGAGCTCCTAGCATATGACAATATGAATTTTGCTAAAATTGAATCAGGAGCAAGCATCAAACTTACGGTGAAGCTTGAGTAGAAGAATGGTGGAATCATTGAGGCGCTACAAGTTTATGAGAACATTACATAAAAGAATTCAGCACTTTATAAATGGATAGATAGTTCCTTTTAAGGAGAGATGAGACAATGTCGAAGAGGCAGACTGCGTCACTTTGTGAGACAAAAACTCATCTTGTCTGTGCCCTAATTGAATTTGAGAGAGGATCAACAGCAGAAACAATAATTAACACCATTAGATGTTTGTGCTGGCTCAGTTTACACAATTCTGACTGAAAAATTTTTTGCTTGATGGGTGCCAGAACTGTTTGTTAGCTACAGGCAAGAGCAGAGCTTTCGGTGGAAATTTTAAACAAGTCAGGTTAAGATTGCAATGCATTTCTTCCAAGTATTGTAACGGGAGATGACAACGCAAGCATCTTTACCAGTTTGTTCTTGAAGACAAAGCACAGACATGCAATGGCTACTAAGAGGTGGAAGTGGCCTAGTCAAAACAGCAGGGAGCCACATGAGAGCCCGTGATAAGAACTAGTTTTCTGGGATGCTCAAGGCATTTTACTTACTGACTTTCTAGAGGTTCAAAAAATAGTAACATCTGCTTATTCTGAGAGTGTTTTAAGGAAGTTAGGCAAAGCTTTTAGCACAACACAGCCAGGAGGACAGCAGGAAGTTCTCTAAGACAGTGCTGTGCTCATTGCTCTCTTCAAACAAGAGCAGTTTTGTCAGAGTTTCTAAGAGAAATCATTAGGTATCCATCTTACAGTCTTGATATGGCTCTGCCTGACTTTTTCTTTTACTTTTTTTTTTTTTTTTGAGTTAAAAATTATTTAAAGGGTGCCCATTGTCTTTAGTTAATGATGTAAAAGAGATAGTTAATAATGTGAAAGAGGCTGCATGGACACGATTAAATTCCCCAGACCTCAGTTCTTTGGGGATGGACTAAATGGTTGGTATCCTCATTCTCAAAATTGTTTGGAACTTGATGGAGCTTATATTGAGAAACGGAGTTTATATTTTTAATTTATCCTGTCACTCCATTTTTCCATGAACTTTTTAACCCTCTTGTATATGGCTGCATCTAGTACTGAGTGTTCTCTCCCTCAATTTGTTGTCTGGAAGTCTCTAAATTAAGTAACATATACAGTAAGTTTTTCTTTGAGCTGTATAATATTTTAATGATCTCTTTGAGATAAAAGTGGTCAAACGTATGTAAGCCCATCAACAATATGGATCAAAATAAAATGACTCCAGAAGGACTTTCTGTGATGACATTTGGAAACTTAAAATACTGTATTTTTTGTTCTAATGGAAGATCTGCTGTCACAAATGACTTTTCTAATCATTCCAGCAATTTCCTTTTGGAAATACAATGCATTTGATTATAGGAAAAGGGATTATGGTATCCATTAAGGCTGTGAATATTTAAAGGTTACTCTGATTAAGCCTGTGCATGGATCAGTAATTGTATGGTGATCTCAACAGTCTCTGTCTGTCTTTTCTTTTATTTGTGGTTGTTTTTTCCCTCTTCAAGTACAGGAGCTGTTTAAAAGTGGGCATTTGGCTTCTTATAAGAGAGAGTGAAATTATTATATCAATCTATTGTTTCTTTTCATCTGTCTCGTTTTGTACATGATGTTTCATTCTGAATGCCTGCTTCGCACCACTTCATTGCAAGGACCTCATGTGAAATGGACTCCCTTCAGAAGGGGATCTTGCATGATTTCTCATATTATGTATTTCTTATACTAATACTTATCATACAGCTTATTAACCTTTGTCTGTCTGGAGCAGGCTGCATATGAAGTATGGATTTTTCAGTTTATTAAACTGCTTTACTTCATTTATTTTTGCTTTTCTTATGCAGGTTGTATCCGAAAATGCTAATTACCTACGAACACCAAGAACTCTTGTAGAACAGAAGCAGAATCCTACTGTAGGTATGTGGTATAAAGGAAATTATATTCCATACCCTTCTTAAACTCACTGTTGTGCACACGTGTAAAACTCTTCGACAGTGAAAGCATGACCAAATGCTATGCTTCAGTACTTACTTGTGTACTTATTCAGAAATGTTGAGTTGTGTAGCTCAAAATATGTAATAAAGTTTTGATAAAATAAGAAAGAAATAGCATTTAATTTTTTTGCATAACTCTTTGAATACTTATAATGGTAACCACTTAGTCCACTTGCCAGTACTTGTTTTTAACTTTGTACTCTACAAGTTAATTTACAAAGAAAATCTCATTTTACCAATTCATAAAGATGAAAAGATGCTATCACATGCAAAAAAGAACCTTTTGTTTTTCTGATTTAAAAGATTTTTAAAGTGGAGAGTGTTTCATACCCTACCTGGGTATAATAATTTTTCTGTCTAGCAGTTCTTAGGGAAAACTGAAACAAAACTAATGCTTAGTGGCATTCTTACCCTTTATTGACCTGTAGAACATAATTGGTTCTTTGCTTGTATAGTAACAGTGCAAAAGAACTTTATAAACTCACTTGCTTTTAAGCTTAAGGTTGATACACTATATAAGATAAAAACATACTGTCTTCTGTAAATAGTTGTCGAAATAGGTTTACTATAAAAACATAAATATATTTCATTTTAAATTTATCTGTACATTGCGTTCTCTACACTAATATGGACTGTGCTGGTGCTTATATTCTTGAACATCTTTCTTTAGATCATTCCATATAGCATGTATTGATACCTTTTAATATCCCAGCAGTATCTTTATAGAAATCTGTTGGGTCACTGGAAAAGTCATGATGTATTTTTGCATAGAAAAGCATTGAAAAATACGTCACAACTTTTCTGACGACCCAGTATATGTTACTCCTTATCACAGTATATTGGATAGAAATTTATTTATTCCATCCTTCTTAAATGGTAATTGTTTCAGTATAAAGATTTTTGCTACAAATTAAGCATCAGTTTATATTGGCTGTATTTTAATAACTAGGAATGTATTTCACTGGGGAGAGAGTGCCTTTTTTTTCTTTTCTCTCTTTTTTTTTTTTTTTTTTATTTATCTGTACATTGCGTTCTCTACACTAATATGGACTGTGCTGGTGCTTATATTCTTGAACATCTTTCTTTAGATCATTCCATATAGCATGTATTGATACCTTTTAATATCCCAGCAGTATCTTTATAGAAATCTGTTGGGTCACTGGAAAAGTCATGATGTATTTTTGCATAGAAAAGCATTGAAAAATACGTCACAACTTTTCTGACGACCCAGTATATGTTACTCCTTATCACAGTATATTGGATAGAAATTTATTTATTCCATCCTTCTTAAATGGTAATTGTTTCAGTATAAAGATTTTTGCTACAAATTAAGCATCAGTTTATATTGGCTGTATTTTAATAACTAGGAATGTATTTCACTGGGGAGAGAGTGCCTTTTTTTTCTTTTCTCTCTTTTTTTTTTTTTTTTTTAATTTGCCAGCAAGTGCATGTGCTCACTGGGGAGAGACCAAGGCAGGCAGGGCAGGAAGAGCCACCCCACCCCACGGGCGTGGCGATTTCACGGTTCTTTGTCTTCTGTTTCTCCCTCCTTTGGGAATTTTGGGCACACACATGCCCCAGGTGTTTTTCAATCTGTTAGGTAGGTCCAGGACTTGAACTACATAGTCAATATGTGGGATCCTACTGCCTTAACCACTAAGCTGTCACCTGGCTTCATTGGGATCTTATTATTTAGTATCTCTCTTTTTTTTTTTTTTTTAAAGAGAGATTTTTGTTATAGGGCATATGCAGTCATCAGAGAGACAGAGTGAAAAAGAAAGAGAAACAGAAAGCAAGAAATCACTCCTGGGGGGCTGGCCACACTGCAGTAACAGAAGCATCATTCTCTTCTTGGGATCTTAGGCATGCACGCACATGTGCCCGGCATGAATGTTTAAGCCTGCAGGTCTGGAACTTTAGCCACGGTTGGCTACGTGGAGTCCAGCAGCGTTATGCCATCTGCCAGTCCCTTAATTAGTATCTTAAGTTATTTTTTGAATATTAGACTTTTGAAGTGATTTTGGCCTGCATGACAAAAAAGGGGACTATTTTATCTGGTCTTCCTATAAGTAAATGTTTTATTATACTTTATTTCATAACAAAGATTGGTAATTTTTTAATTCAAGGGCATCAGAAAAGATTTTTCATTTATAGACATATCAGGGGTTTTCAGAAAGTTTATGGGAAATACATATAAGAAAAAAGACTATTATGCACTGATTTCAGAAAATGTGGGCACCAAAATAAATGAATACTTTAATTTTGTTTTTCCATGAACTATTTGAAGTCCCCTGTACATTCAGAAATGTTGATTTAATTTTATTTAATTAGTGCTAGGAGAGTTTTTTAAAATATGGCCTGCTCTTGCAAATTGATTAATAAAATTCCTTCTCATCCTAAATTAATTTTTATGGCAATGTTTTTAAAACTTCTAAGATCGTTATTGTCTAATTATTGTATGAGCATATTTTTCCTCAAAGATACATTTTTGTCTAGTGTTAGGTTGCTCATTTGTGCATATGATAATTGGTGGTGATAATTAGAAACATCATATTAAAGTTGACATCACTAGGACATTGCAAGCATATTGTGAGCTTGTTCAGGGCACTGCCAAAGGCTGCCTTATGTGTGGTAAGAGCCATGTTAATTGCATGCTGCATGAATTTCCAATGTGAATGGAAGAACACCCGTTGTTGTATGAATTTTCTCTGACTCCCATCAGGGTCTCACTGTGCGGGCCTGTTTAGCACCTCGGTGCTCGGGGCTTCTTCAAGCGCACCTAACCTACAGGATTATGCTCGTACTCATCGTAAAAAGCTGACCTCTTCTGGCTGCATAGATGGTATGTGCACACATGCACACACAGATCCATGCTCACACCCACGCACCCATAAACAGTGTTTCTCAAAAGCACGTCTAAGGCCACTGACTGGGTAGGGGGAGCCCTAGCTCCCTTTGCCTGAATGACTGTCAGTGCTCCGTTACCCACAGCTCGGATCCATGTCTCATTGAACAGTTAATTATAGATAGATTTACAGCACTTCTCTGATAAGTAGTTTGCTGAAATGGAAAATTTAGAACTATATCATGTATATTCTTCTTTGAGATAACTGATAATCCATTTTATAAAGAATAAGATTTTGTTTGGTATTTTATTCATTGTTAACCCTTATTTTACCTACTGATAATTGAGGCAATTAAATGAAAATGAATGTAATATTTATAAGTGGAGGAAAATTTATTGACTATTTTTATAAAAATAAGCATACTATGAGAATATTTTAGGATCTCTTGATGAAAGAGATCCTCTCAGTCTTAATATGCCTTAAATTTTAATATTCTGTCTTGTGGCGCTCCCAAAAGCTTGCCCCTCTTCTTAAGGGGAATATTTTTGAACTCTTTTAGGATCAGCTTTATTTAAGACTTTTTTTCTCATGGAGCTACAAATTTTCTTTAGTCAGTAAAACATGAATTTACCAGAATTGGCACCTCATCCTGCTTTTCTTTATGTATTTCATTAAACACTTCACCTCTATCATCAAACCAGTTTACTTCTTTTAACCAGTATTTGGCTTATTATCTTCTCTCATTGTCCCTTCTGCATGTCACCTAATTCTAACTTCCTCATATATTTGTTTTTTTCCCCTCTTTTTTTAAGTGTTCTTCTTTTGGTAGCTGTTACGAATTTCAGGTACCTGTTTTTCTCTTTCTCAGACACCACACGCGGTTCTGCTGTTAAAAGGTTTTCTATCTCATTTGCTCGACACCCAACCAATGGTACGTTTTGCTTTTATTTTAAAAGATACTCCCCTGCTTCATTCCCCTTTTATTTTTCTTTTATTTCAAGATGTGGGGTATACAGTATCATTCATTTCTCTGTCCTTATTTTCACTTAGCATTGAATTGGACCTTAATATTCACTCAAATTATTGATACTGTCTAGTTCCCCTTTTTAGCTGTAATTTACACAATAATTCTTAACATTATGCATCAGACTTTTAAATGACCACAGTGATAGTGAGTTTTAATATTAACACCTGAAAATTCCTTCTAATTCTTCAAGTGATCAGTCTACATAAATTTTTAAAATACAACAATTAGATTTTTAAAGTTTGTTCTTAATTTGAATGTTTTCTTTTCTTCCCAATTACTTTTCTGATCACATGGTTGCTGAAGATATTTTACAAAAATACAGAGCCACTCGTATCAGATAGCCAAATCCAAATGAGATGTGTCTGTGAGAAGCTGTTGGGAACCAGGTGATGGCAAACAACTGTGTGAACTCATCTCTCCCTGGTTCTTTGTCTAAAGCAAAACCTGACTTAGTGTGGAGCGCTCTGAAAACTTGGCCCGGCATTCACTTTGTCCTTGTGTCCTTGTGTGGCAGTAGGTTTGTTGTTATCAAGCAACTCATTCCTTCTGATACCACTCCATTTTCTTAAGATTTGGAAGAAAGAATACCAAGTTAAAAATCTTTAACTGCACTAATATACAGTGTATTTTTGCTGGGAAAATTCATTTTATAAGCTCTAATGATATACAGTGATTGAATGTATAAAGCAAAAAATTTTTAAAAATCTAGAAACACAATTGTGCTAAATTCAATTTTTAAGGCCGAATTGGAAAGTGTTTCTTAAGATTACTTATAAACTGAATTGTCACAATATTATAAGTTCTTAAACGGAGCTTGTTCTTATGGGGCAAGAGGGAATAAGTATTATTTTTAAATAATTCAGGATTGGAAAATTAAAAGGAAAACTTAAAGATTTTTGCTTTCATTTGGAATAAAGATACTATCCCTGGAACTTTTTTCTTTGTCTTTTTAACTGCAAATAAGTCTTTCAAAATCTTAAGTCAAATCTTTCAAAAATGTTTGTGAAGCTAAAGGATTCAACACAAACCTGTTGTCATTCTCCCCCTTCTGGATCCTTTAACAACATACGTAAATAACATTGCACTAATACTTCTTGAAGGTGGAGTAAGAAGATCATCCTCAACAATTGAGTATTTAATCTTAAAGCTTAACGTGCTTTTCCTTCATTGTAGCTTTTTTAAAAAATGCTACTTTTTGAAGAAAAAGATCCTTATTTGATACAGCTTCAGCTTCTAAAGAACCCACATGCATAAGAACCTCTTAGAAGAAAAACAGAGACGTCACAAGAGAAAAACAGAAGTCACAAAAGTCTAAGAAGAGACATTGCAGGTTTAAGACTATTTATAGTTTTTGTACCAAATGCTGTATGTTTTAAACCAGTATTGCATTTTATCTTGGAAAAAATCTGTATTTAACTGAAAATTTTTAGAAAGAAAGAGAAACCAATGTGTACATGAGTTAAATTTAACAGAAAATAGAATAATTTTATATTCCTTTGGGTTAGGGTTTTTTTTTAAAAAAAAAAAAACAGTTGTGAATTTTCCACACATTGTGCAACTTAGTGCATACAAAATTCTTTCTTTTCAATTCTGGGAGTATTTCTATGGGTTTTTAAAGCATTCTTCTTCTTTCTTTCCTTTTTTTTTTTTTTTTAATGCTGTGTTGTCATTTTTGTCCTATGAATTGTCATTCGACACTCCCTTTCACTTTTTATTTCCCCTCATTTTCATGTTGTTTCCATCTTTAACACATATCATGGACTTACCCCTCCCTTCATCTTTAGTTCAAGGAACATGGTGAAACAAGTACCTTCTGACAGTGCTTTACCTTGTTTTCTGGGCCTCTGTGCAGAACACCTACCGCTCTGTAGGTGCGGGTCCGTTTCCTCTGTGGAATTTCTAGGCTCCAGTGGTATGTTTCTATAGCTTCTAAACATGTCAGCAGGGTGGCTTTTTAAATTGCTGCGCTAACCCTTTCATTATGCATTAGAGAAAAAGCTTATCTTATAAATGAAAAAAATGTAATCCAGAGGACCTTGAATTATTATCATTTGACTGTTATAAAATCTAGCAGGCAAATGGAAAAAGAAAATCACAACAGACTCACATCCTGAGGAAAAGGGGAGAAAAGGAGCTGGTTAGTGTAATGCAAAGAAAGGGTTTGCGCTCATTTGCATGAATCTTGTCCTTATAAAAAAATGTAACGGTTGTGCAAGCCTAATTTTTTTAGTGCTCAGGTGCTTAGCTGCTGTTACGGTTTTATAGTTTTTTGTTTTTGTTTTTGAAGTATGTTCAATGTTCTGTCATGCTTTAGCTTGCACCTAAAAATCAAATATTTGGTTTTGTAAGTCCTTTGATTATTTTAATAAAAAAATTAGATATACTTTTATACACAGTTTCCTTATTCCAGCTGAGAATTAGGCAGTTCTTGGGTCAGTATTTTCTTCCAAAACTTAAATAAATCAAATGTCAGTGAATTTTTAAAAAGCACATACCTATTGAAGCAGAGAGTTTCATTCATATTTACTTTCTTTTTTTTTTGGAGAGGTTTTTGCTATAGGGCGCATGTGCTCACCAGAGAGACTGAAAGCGAGAAATCATCCCCCGGGGGGATGGCCATGCCGCAACCCCTTCTCCTCCATTCTCTTCTTGGGATCTTGGGCATGCACACACATGCGCCCGGCGTGAGCTTAAGCCACTGGGTCCGGGACTCAAATCGTGGTCGGCTACATGGGATCTCAGCGACATAGCCATTATGCCAACTGCTGCCCCCCCCCCATATTTACTTTTTAATTAGCAATATTGGACTAAACTTAAGTATGTAAAGTATGTCTTTGGAGGAAAATTAGTTTGAATTTCTGGGATAGTAGAACCAGTAAGACTTGCTATTTTTAATAATGTATATAAGCAATTTTAAAAGCCATTCAGTTGAATAAAGTTTAAATAGGCAGTTTACTTTTTAAAAAGTGAATAACATATATCCCATTTGTTTGAAAAAATAAACTGTGTTTAAAGTGCTTTTGTTTCACTGATGGTTTTAATACATATCTGCATGATTGTTTCATGAAATTTTTGTATTTCTGTGCCATTGTTAAATATGAATGTATTTGTATTTTGTATTGTATTTTTTTTTGGCTCAGCCAGTGATTTTCAATAATAGAAATACTGTATTAATTTAGTAAAGGTAGGTGAAGTATGTTTTGGAATTTCAACTCAAGCATAAACAAATGGATGTTCTTTGGGGATCAAACTAGAGAATGTTGTTGGCCTTGGCATGCCTAAAAAAGTGTTTAAAATCACTCTTCACAAGTAATTGCAGAATTGCTTTTTGACAACAAGTTATCTTTAGCATCCTGGTATCAGGGAAACTTCAAGGTATTAGGTTATTTATTCACCAATGAAATAGACCTGACTTTTAAAAGTAAAAATTGAAAAATTACATTTTTTTCTGTACTTTTTCTCTAGGTTTTTTTCCAACTATTATTCTTAGATTGTACTGCTATAAAATGACATTGTGTCTGCATGCTATCCTGTGTGATCATACCTGAATTGAACTCTTTGTCACATCTTGTTCCAGCTCCGTTTTGCATAGCATCTGGTGTCATGACTTCAGGGTTCTTGTGTGTTTGCATGTGATGAACTGAAAAAAGCCTCAACTGTCCAGGTCTAAGCAATGGGCTTCTTTTTATGTAATTACCAGTTTTTTTAAATAACCAACTTTTCTATTTTGTTTTTGTCTTTTTCTCTTCCAGGTTTTGAATTGTATTCCATGGTGCCATCCATTTGTCCTCTAGAAACGCTTCATAATGCCTTGTCTCTAAAGCAGGTGGATGAATTTCTTGCTTCCATCGCTTCTCCATCAAGTGAAGTTCCAAGGAAAACCCCTGAAAATTGTAGGAGAATTTACCTTCATTATTATTACTTAATTTTGGGGCAGTAGATATTATCTGAATATACAAGAATTATGTAAAAATAAGCCGAAGTACTAGTAGTTAATAGAACTTAAAGAGAGAAAGTGGCATAAAAGGACATTGTTAGGAATTCTTAAGTATAGTGTACAATGTACCACTTTTCTCAGCTTACCCCAAAATCTTTTTCTTACAAAAAGGAAAAAAAAAACCAACAACTAAGACTGCAGTAGAAGTCAGCAACATAATAATAAAGTCTTGATCTTTTTGTAAACTTGAAAAATATCAGTTCACATTAACCCACACATGCCCACCCTCTCACCGTCTCACCATTTTTGATAAGTAGTCAAAGTTTTTAACTAAGAGAACAAATTAGGGCAGTGATTTTTTTCAATTGCATTTCTCAGAAAGTAGTTCAAAGAAATTAATGTCTGTGTGTGAAGAAAAGGGTTCGGGAAATGTATAACATATGCCACCACCCTTCTGAGATGGTTACCTTGGCATACAAAGTTGATGCTCCATAAAGAAAGCTGTAATAACCTTATTTTTCAAAACTTACATTTATAGAAAACACTTTTGGTAACTCATTAAACATTACGTGGCACTATTCTGAGTGACGTCATTTTGGGAAGTGCGTGGGTCTACCGTTATAGGTGTGAGAAATCAGCCGGCAGTTGTCATTTTCCACTCTGTAGGGACCTTCAACACGTAAGGGTTTCCAGTTTGGAAAACATGTGTTTTTGGAGGACAGTCTTTTGCCTAGAGCTAAGAATCTTGCTATTCCTGTCATGTCTTAGAAAACCAACAAACTTCTTTTACTTTTTGAGAGAGAGATTTTTGCTATAAGGTGTGTGGGCTTGCCAGAGAGACAGAAAGCAAGAAATCACTCTCCCCAAGGGGCATGGCCATACTGCAATCCCTTTTCTATTCTCCTCTCAGGATTTTGGGCATGCATATAAATGCACCATGTCTGTGCTTGGGTTTCAAGCTGCTGGGTGCAGAACTTGAACCATGATTGATCACATGGGAGTTCAGTGCCTTAACTGCTACACCATCTGCCGGCCCCCAACAAACTTTTTTTGTATGCCATTCTCCCTTTTCTTAGGTGCTATAAACATATTTTGCCTAAGAATAACTGAGGTATTGTAGTTCTTGGAATGCATGCCACTGTCATGTCTTGTTATTCTCGTCCCTTTCCTGGCCATCACATTGTACAATTCTAGAGCACACTAGTCACGTTGTAGAGTCGGGGAGAACACTACCCAAATGAGGCCCAGAATAATGACCTTTTCCTTTCTCCCATTTCTGATAATACAGGTCAGTTTTAATCATTAATGTTAATGGAGAGTTATCTTGGTGTAAATGTTCAAAATATTTCACTTTAGGGATACCTTTTGGGGAGTAGGTTTTGTTTTCATAATATGCATATGAAAGTATCTGATTCTGAGAACCGATAATAGAAATAACTTCTCTAAGCTATAAAGTCAAAGTCAGGAAATGAAGAGAGTTCATCTCTTTTTATGGTCTCATAACCAAGGACATACAGTGCTATTCCCACAGAATGCAATAGAGAATCCGAATAAATTTTAGTTTACTCTTTTCTCCTTATACTGGATGTTTCATTGACTCCTGGGATTTGAAATGTTAAAGTACAGATTAAAGAAAGATTTAGCTTGAGGCTGGAGGATGGTGCAGTATGATACTCTGAGAGGCAGTCTCTAATGGGAAGGTTTCTGGTTCAACTTTGGAGACCGCACTGATTATGCCGGGCACACACATGTCTATGACCTGAGACTGATTGAAGGCAGGGTGGACTGCAGCCTTAGACCCCTAGTGAGGGTGTTATCTGTCTTCCTGTCTCTCACTCACTCTCTTACTTTCTCTCAGAACAAACTTTAAAAAAAAGAAGAAAGAGTTCTAACTGGTAAATAAGAATTTAGGATAGGTATGCTATTTAGATAGTAGAAGATTTGCAGCCCCCTAGCCTATCAATTAAGGAAGCCAGATCCTACATGACTGACTCAGGGACTGAAAAACACACTGGGTGCATGTGGATGTGTGCCCCAAATCCTAACAGGATGGAGAAATGGAAGAGAATGGGATTGCATTGTGACCAAGTGCCATTGAGGGCACTTTCCTCCCTCTCTCTGTCTCTGGCTCTCCATCTCTCTCTGGGGAACATATGCACCCTCTGGCAATTAAAAAACAAAAATATTTGCAATGAATGATTTCCAGGTAATAGCCACAGTAATGACATCTGTTTTGAAAAGAGATTTTTCAGAAAAAAATATGTATTAAAAGGTCTTTTTTGAGGTTGATTCTGTTGTTATTTTGTGATAGTTTTATTTTTATGGCTAGTGAATTCATCAAATGTATTATCGAAGTATATTAAGGAAACAATAGATGGCTATAATTAGCTCTTCTGTATATCATGCATACAGATTGTACCTCAATTACTCTAGCTCACTTAAAATTTTGTCTCATTAGTTACTAAAGGAACTAGATGAAAAAGTAAAGGTACTTACTGTAGTTCATAGACAAGTCTTAGAGATCATCTAGTTCATTGGGTTCAAACTATGTTCCCAAGAGCATTTGGAAATCCTAGGGGAAGAGAAGGATGCCAGATGATTACAGCTTGTTTCTTTCATGGTTGCTTCAACCAGAGTATCTGCTTCGATCCATTTCACTTGATAAAAGTTTACTGTATAAGGGAAAAGACTTGGACACGGTTGAAGAAATCAACTAGTTGAAACTAAGCCTTGTAAAAGCCTCTGTTTATTTGTTCTTTTAAATATTATGGAACATAAGGTACCAATTATGATGGAAGTGTCTGAATCTTGAATTTTAGATATTTCATAGAGAGTAACTGCAGAATTAATATTTATTAATAACCATATATTTACATTATTTACACTTAATTCTCTGAATTGTCAAGGCAGTACCATTGCATACATAAATTGATTTTGTGGTTTCTGTAACAAGAATGAGGGCATTGTTAGTCATACTCTGTCATTGAAAAGGATTTTATCCTCCTCTAGGATAAAATAAATTTTATGATAGCTGAAAGTTAATTTATAGAAGGGCACTGACAATCAGACTGGGGGAAAAGAGTGAAACTCCTAATTAGGATAAGTTAGTGATAAAAATAAACAGAATAGTGTAAAAATATATAGGAAGGGATAAGCTCAGTGATACTGTGATGCTTTATATGATGTTTCAGGGACTTTCTCATCACATTATTTTCACTAGTGGCTACTTAGAGCTCTGTGAGTGCAGTTTACCTTTACTTGTGTAGGTATTAACCACTGAAGGCACCTTTGCCAAATCTGATCCAGATTTTTATTTTCAAGAGTGTATTGCTGTCAGGTCCTCTCCCAGATTGCAAATCTGGTTTTTGTAACCTTCCTGCTTTCTTTTGTTTTAATAATAGACACACCAGTAATCCCCTTCTCCCCAGACATGGGCCTGCCTTCCCCAGAGGACACCATACTTAAGAATTATTTCTGCTTTTCCCTTTCACACTTCTCAGTATCTCCCCTTGAATTGGAAGAGGAAAAATTAAAAAAAGAAGGGAGGAAGGAAGGAAGGAAGGAAGGAAGGAAAGAGAGAATGAGAGAGGGAGGGAGGGCAGGAAGGAAGGAAAGACTGCTCCCCTCTCATGAAGATAAATCTTGGTTCTATAATAGTAGGAAGACAGTCTGGTTTGTTTAATGACTCACATATATCTTGTTAGTTTATTCTTAAGTATGATAGTTTAGAAGACCATTGTGTTTGCAGATGAGCTGTCCCTGAATCTGTTATTGAGAAAAACAACTGGGGACTCTGTCATAAAAGTCACTTACTCTGTTAGGCGGTAAAACCGTGGCATCGGCTCTCAACCATACCTTAACAACCTCAGTTTTAACCAGAGCAGGCTAAAATTAAATCATTACTCTATTGTTTTGGCTTTCCTTTGGTGTATACTGGTAGGATGCATATTTACAGTATAATCAGAACATCAATTTGGGTAAGGCCATTAGAACTATCCTTTTAAAAGAAAGATAATTTTGCTGAGTTTACAAACCCTACTTTATGTATTTTCCACTGCTATGTCTATTCATATGTCATTAATTTATGTCAAAAGAAACACTTTTTTAATATTAGGATAGAATTGGCAGGAAGTTATTAAATTGCCATGTTTGTTTGTTTGTTCTTTCCCCAGCATCTGCAGCTTCACGCTCCAGTCCAGTAATGAGAAGAAAAGTATCATTAAATACATATACACCTGCAAAGGTCCTCCCAACACCACCAGCTACCTTAAAGAGTACTAAAGCAAGCAGCAAACCAGGTTAGGGGTGTGTGTGTGTGTGTTTGTGTGTGTGTGTGTGTGTGTTATGAAGTCTGCACCGCAATTACAAGAGCTTGCTTTTTAAGTGTGAAATCTGTTTTTAAATTGAATTATACTTTCTAGAGCATAAATAATCTTAAAGCTTACAAATCTGTTATTATAGCCTATTGATAGGAGATATACTTTTTTTGAGAGAGAGCAGTTTTTTGCTATAGGGTGTGTGAGCCTGCCAAAGAGACAGAGACAGACAGAAAGTAATAAGTCACACCCCTCAAGAGAGATGGTCTCCCACAGTCCCTTCTCCAGTTCTCTTTTGGGATTTTGGGCATGCATACACACTTGCCCAGTGTGAGTGTTAAGCTACTGGATTCAGGATTTGAACTGCGGTCTACTACATGGGAGTCTAGCAATGTAACCATTATGCCATCTCCTGGTCCCAAGAGTACTTTTAAAAGTTCATGGGAGGGACCAGCAGTTGGCGTAATGGCTATGTTGCTGGACTCCCATGTAGTAGACTGCGGTACGAGTCCCAGACCCAGTGGCTTAAACTCACGCTAGGCATGTGTGCATGTGTGCCCAAGATCCCAAAAGGAGAATGGAGGAGAAGGGATTGTGGCATGGCCATCCCCCTGGGGGGTGATTTTTCACTTTCTATCTGTCTCTCTCTCTCTCTTTCTGGCGAGTGCACGCACCCTATAGTAAAAACCTCTCCCCCCAGAAAAAAAAAAAGTTCATGGGAAATGAAATTAGAGTTCAAATATATTTTGGTATAAAATTTTGAAATCCATATTTAATTTTTTCATAGTATACATTTTCCATGAACTTTTAAAAGACCATGTGTATTTTTTGTCTCTATTGTTTCCTCTTCCCTCACAATTTCATACTCATGTTTTCCCCAAAACTTATTTTAGACTGTTTTCCTTTTCTGTTGAAGCTAAGGCATAATTTTATATGAAATTCTTTTCTTTCCTTACAGTATTTTAATATTGCCATTATCAGTCTGATGATATGACTACCAGATTCAGCTATTTTTTTAAGTTTATTTCTTTTATGAGATAGAATATTAGCAAAATACACACACACAGGGAAGGGGGCCATCCTTGACAGAATTTCATCACATCACTGTCATCCTTCTAGCCCACCAGCTAGCTAGTCCAGGTTTTGAACTCGTGTGCTTGGAGTGTTTCATGCTGACTCAGGATCCAAACCCTGGTTCACCATGTGGCTTCCAGCAGTGCAGTTCAGTACAGTGCTGACTATGCCAGCTGCTGGGCTAATTCAAATATTTTGAATTTTATTGGCATTTTTCTGTTTTAACTTCTTGGCACATTTGATTGTGTTGATCTTTACTGAAATGTTACCCTGACTTCCAAGTATTAGTTCGTCTGTTCTTTCTATGATTCTTCTACTTTTCTTACGTGGTGATCTTCCTACTCTCCTATCCCACACAGTGACACTGTACTCTGTTCTTTTTTTCTTACCCTGTATCTTTTTTCTCCTTAGAGAATTCTGTATAGCTCCAAGGCTTTGCCTGTAACTTCACTACAGATATCTTCATTCTTCTTCTGTGCTTTCAGATATTCTTTTGGTTAAGAGTTTGGTGCCAGTAGATGGCATAGTAGCTTATGTCACTGGTCTCCCACATGGTGGACAATGGTTTGAGTCTTGGACCTGGTGGCTTGAAAATCATGTGTGCCCAAGATCCTAGGGAGAATGGAAGAAAAGGGATTGAAGCATGGCCATCTCCTCTGGGGTCTGATTTCTCACTTTCCTTCTCACTGTCTCTGTCTCTGTCTCTCTCCAGCAAACGCATGCACCCTAAGGCAAAACCTTTAAGAGAAAAGTTTGTGCTTAGGACTCAGAGGGACCTAGATTAAAATCTCAATTCTGCTATTATATGACTTTGGGCAAATTACTTAAACTTTCTGATCCTTGGTCTCATTAGTCATAAAATCAGATATGTAGATAGGGTCTTCAGTTACATAGGTGAGTTGAGGATTTTTGCATCTGTTTTTATGAAGGATATTGGCCTGCAGCTTTTTTATAATGTCCCATTTAGGTTTTGGTATCGGGGAAACGCTAGCTACGTAAGATGACTTGGGAAGTATTTTTTCCCTCCATTTCTGTTTTCTGAATGAGTTTTTATAAGATGGTTATTTCTTCCTTATGTGCTTGATGGAATTTCTTTTCCATTTCATTTTGTGGCAATTTAGTGACTTGTATTTTTCAAGGAATTTGTTCATTGTATCTAAGTTGTCAACTCTGTCATTTCTTCATTATCCTTTTATGAAAACTATTTTTATTGTATATATTTAAGGTGTAAAACATGATTTATTTATTTTTGCCAGAGGGGTGCCTGTGCTAGCCAAATAGAGAGGGGAAAGCACCCCATCCTGCTGTGGGGCATGGTCACTCTGCAGTCTCTTATCTATTTCTCCGTTCAAATTTAGGATTTGGGCATGTACACGCATGTGTCTGGCATGTTTTTAAGCCGTTAGGGCTGGGGTTTAAACCATGGTCAGCTATACTGGATTCTGCCCTCTAGGCATGTGGCTGGTCGTCTTTATTATCCTTTTTAGAGTGAGATAGCCTCTCCTTTTCGTGATACTAGTACTTTTTAAATTTTTATAAATTATTTTTCATTGGTATAGTTTATCAGTTTAGTTAGCCTTTTTAGAGAACCAACTTTTAGCTGTTTTTCTTTTGATTGATTTCTGTTCTTTATACTCTTCTTGCTACTTACCTTGAGTTTATTTTTATCCTTTATTTCTAGTTACTTAGGTCATTCATTGTTTGTTATTTTTTTCTCTTATTACTAAACATTCAAAGGTGTAAGAATCCTGGGAACCAGCAGTTAGCATAATGGCTATGTTGCTGGACTCCCACGTGGTCGACCGCGGTTTGCGTCCCGGACCCGGTGGCTTAAAACTCACGCCGGGCGTATGTGTGTGCGTGCCCAAGATCCCGAGAGGAGAATGGAGGAGAAGGGATTGCAGCGTGACCAACCCCCCGGGGGGTGATCTCTCGCTTTCTGTCTCTATGTCTCTGTCTGGCAAGTGCACACGCCCTATAGCGAAAAAAACTCTTAAAAAAAAAAAAAACTAGTTTTTTATTTAGTTCCATTCCAGTTACAAAAGATACACTGTATGTTTTCAGCCTTGTAAGTGTGAGACTTGTTTTAATGTCTTAACATTTGGACTATGTTGGCTGTATCTTATTCACCAAAACAAACAAACCAAAAAGAGTGATTTGTTGATCCTAGTGGATACTGTGTTATGATTATCCTGTGTTATTAGGTCAAGATGAATTATCATGTTCAGATTTTCTGTGTATATACTGGATTTTTTTTGTTTGGTTTTGGTTTTTTGGTGGTAGAGAAGTGCTCAGGGAAGGGATCTGGTTGTTGAATTGTACAGAGAGCAGTTTCTTTTTTTTTTTTTTTTTTTTTTTTTTTTTTTGCTATAGGGCACATGCACTTGCCAGACAGACAGAGACAGAAAGCGAGAAATCCCCCCCCCAGGGGGGATGGCCACACCTCAATCCCTTCTCCTCCATTCTCCTCTCAGGACCTTGGGCACGCATGCACACGCGCCCGGCGTGAGTTCTAAGCCACCAGGTCCGGGACGCGAACCGCGGTCGACTACATGGGAGTCCAGCGACATAGCCATTATGCTAACTGCTGGTCCCACAGAGAGCAGTTTCTACTCACAGCTGCAGAATTGCCTGGTTTTTTTTTTTCCTTTACCCTGACAAATTTTCACTTTTCATGTTTTGGAACTCTGTTATTAGGTGCATACATATTCATTACATCCTCTTAAGGTATTGACTCATTTATCATTGTGACATTTTCCTCTCTGATTTCCAGTGATGCTTTGTATGAAAGTTTATTTCATCTGATGTGAATATACATAGTCCAGCTTTCTTAATGTACTATATACATGGTCTATTTCTTCCCATTCACTTACTTTGCATCTGTGCCTTTATAGTTAATATGGAATTTTTTGTAGATAGCATATATTTGGCTTGAAAAAGAGTCATTCTAACAATATCTGCCTTACTACTTACTGCTTTATTTTTTCTGATTATTATTCCTTAATTCTTACCTGCTTTTTTAATAGTCCAATATACTTTTTCTAAGTTTTTGCCATAGGGCACATATATTTACCAAAGGGAGAAAGACAGTGAAAAGAAAAGTGAGAAATCACACCCCCTACTCCCAGGGGAGATGACCACAGTATAATCCCTTCTCCATTCTCCCCTCAAGATTTTGAGAATACACACGTACGTATCCAGCATGATTTTCAAGCCAGTACTTTCGGGTCCTGTACTTGAACCATAGTTGGCCATGTGAGAGTCCCGTGCCTTAACCACAACAGCACTTGCTGGCCCCAATAGTTAAATATTTTTTAGAATTTCATTTTAATTTATCTATTGGCTTTATACTGTATTATTTTGCATTATTCTTTTGTTGATTCTCTAAGTGTATTTCTAACTTTTCTTGGAATTTTATACTACTTAAAATCTAGAAATTTTGCTTTGTGTACCTTCCCTTCCTCTCATCCCTTACACATGTTGTTTTTATATGTGCTATTTTCATATGTTTTAAACACTGGCATGCACTGTTGTAATAGGTACTTTGGTGATCATGTATTTTAAAGGAATTAAGGGGAGGAAATAAAACCTTATTTTTCACATTTGCCTTTTTATTTTGCGAGATTTTTGCTATAGGGCACATGTACTTGCTGGAGAAACAGAGGGAGAGAGGGAAAGCAAGAAATCTCCCCCAGGGGAATGGCCATGCTGCAGTTCTTTCTCCTCCGTCCTCCTCTTAGGATCTTCAGTTTTAAGTCACCAGATCTGGGACTCGAACCATGGTCAACTCCATGTTAGTCCCACGATTTAATCATTATGCCATCTGGTGGTCCCCATATTTACCATTTTTTGATACTCTTGTTTTTTTTTTTTTTTGTTTTTTTTTTTTTTGAGAGGTTTTTGTTATAGGGCACTTGCCAGAAAGACAGAGTCAGAGAGACAGAAAGCAAGAAATCACCCCCAAGGGTGGATGGCCACGCCACAATCCCTTCTCCTCTATTCTTCTCTTGGGGCCTTGGGCACGCATGCACATATACCCAGTGTGAGTTTAAGCCACCGGGTCCAGGACTTGAACCACAGTCGACTACATGGGAGTCCAATGGCATAGCCATTACACCATCTACTGGTCCCACTCTTGCTTTCTTGAAATCTGTTTCCATCTGGTTTCATTTGCCTTCAGTGGAAGCTCCTAAAGAGATTGTTGCCAAAAAGCTATTCATTTTGCTATCTGAAAAATATCTTTATTTCACCTTAATTCTTTTTTTTTTTGAAGAGATTTTTGCTATAGGGCGCATGCGCTCACCAAAGAGACATAGAGTCAGGAAGCGAGAAATCACCTTCCAGGGGGGATGGCCACGCCGCAATCCCTTTTCCATTCTCCTCTCGAGATCTTGGGCACGCACGCACACACACCTGGTGTGATTTTAAGCCACCGCGTCCAGGATGCGAACCGCAGTCGACTGCGTGGGAGTCCAGTGACATAACCATTACACTAACTGCTGGTCCCTCACCTTAATTCTTCTAAGGTAATTTTCCTGTATAGAAAATTCTGGTTGTAAAGTTTTTTCTCTCAGCACTTTAATGATGTTTTACTGTTTCCTGGCTCCCAGGCTCCCATTGTTTCTGTGGGAAATTTTAGTTAGAAATTCTATTTATGAGTCAGCAGGTGGTGTGGTAGTTAAGGCACTAGACTCCCACATGGCTGATCATGATTCGAGTCCTAGACCTGGTGGGTTCAAAATCATGCTGGGGGGGACCAGCAGTTAGCATAATGGCTGTGTCGCTGGACTCCCACGTAGTCTACTGCGGTTCGCGTCCCAGACCTAGTGGCTTAAAACTCACGCCGGGCGCGTGTGCGTGCATGCCCAAGATCCCGAGAGAAGAATGGAGGAGAAGGGATTGCGGCATGGCCATCCCCCCTGGGGGGTGATTTCTCGCTTTGTGTCTCTCTGTCTGGTGAGCGCATGCACCCTATAGCAAAAACCTCTCCAAAAAAAAAAAAGATAAATAAAATAAAATCATGCTGGGCACATGTCCATGCATGCGTGCCCAAAAAAAATCTCAAGAGAATGGAGGAGAAAGGGTTGCAGCACAGCCATCGCCCAGGGAGTGATTTCTCACTTTCCCACTCTCTGTGTCTGTCTCTGGTGAGTGCAATGTACCCTATGGCTAAACCTTAAAAAAAAAAAGTGAAAATGAAAAAGAAATCTTGTTTATGCAGTAGATTATTTTTCTCTGACTGCTTTCAATGTTTTATTTCTCTTTCTTTTTTTTTTTTAAGAGTGTTTTTTGCTATAGGGCATATGCACTTGTCAGAGAGACAGAAAGTGAGAAATCAGCCTCCCCAAGGGGGATGGCCACTCCGCAGTCCCTTCTTCTCCATTCTCCTCTTGGGATCTTGAGCACTACGCACATACATCTGGTGTGAGTTTTAAGCCACCGGGCCATGACTCAAACCACAGTCGACTACTTGGGAGTCCAGGATATAACCATTACGCCATCTGCTGGTCCCTCAATGTTTTCTCTTTATTATTGGTTCTCAGTAGTTTGGTTGAAACATGTTTGGACTTTTGTTTGTCTGTTTGATTTCTTTTTCTTTCTTTTTTTTTTTTTTTTTTTTTTTTTTTTTTAGTAATCCTACTTGATATTTACTTGTACTTGTCCTTTCCATTCTGTCAGTAAACCTATATAATTTTTACTTTAGATATTTTATTTTAGACATTCGTTCTTTAGTTTTAGACATTTTACTTAGTTGTTATTTTTAGTTTTTTTTTTTTTAAACAGAGTTTCTCTATTTATTATAGGTTTATTATCTTTTGTGCTGGAGCTTAGTTAAAATTACAGTTTGGGACCAGCAAGTGGCGTGGTGGTTAAGGCGCTGGACACTCCCACTTGGCCAACCAGGGTTTGAGTCCTGAATCTGGTGGCTTGCTTTCTCATTTCCTCTCTCTTTCACTCTCACCCTCTGTGTCTTCTCTGGTCAAATTGAAAAATAAATTAATGAATAAATAAAATAAAATAAATGTTAAAAAAATTGCAGTTTTAAAATTCTTGTCTATTAATTGACTCATCTCAGGATTGATCTCTGTCAGTTTACCATTCTCAAGAAGAAAGACATTTTTCTTATTTGTTAGTCAGTTGATTGATTTTGGATTTTATTCTTGACACTATGAATAAGTTTTTGACACTCTGGATTCTGTTATTTTGTTCCTCCATTAAATATTGTCATTTATTTGTTTTTTAAAAAAGGGATTATCCTTAGCTGAACTCAGAGAACAAAACTGTGAGCTTTGAAGTGGTGGACAGTTCAGAGTTCGGTTCACTTCTTTTAGCTTTAGCCGGACTGCCTGGAGCTCGCTCTGCTCCTGCTGTGGAGTGATTGCTCAGGGTTTGTACGTAGAATTGCAGGCTCTGCCATTCTGGGATATTCTCTCTCCCTTTCCAGCAGCTATATGTGGTTGTCCTAATATTTGACTTTCATCTTTATACTCACTAGTTCTATGTGGTATAGACTGGGGCCTGTCTTCAGTTCAAAAGTTTTCAGAAAGTGGAAATGTTCCCCTTGTTCTCTTCTTCCAAGTTTTTCTTCTTCTCTAGGAACTGCCTGCTTTTGTTCCCTCAGCAGCATCTTCATGTAGTTGTTCCTCATGGTTTGTGCAGAATGTTACTGCAGAAGACTGGTCTGATAGGACCTTACTGTCCATAGTAAGGATTTGAAAGAATGAGGCCCGAATTCATTAATGATCCTAGTTTGTAAACCTTACAGCTTTTCGTATAGTGCTGAGGTAGATAATATGGAAGTGTATGTTTATAAGGAAAAATGATGAGTTCAATTTTAAGCATGTTTATGTTTTCCATCAGCTATCTAGAAAAAAGTTCTGTTGGGTTGTCAGAAAAGTCATGATGCATTTTTGCATAGAAAAGCACTTCATGGGACCAGCAGTTGACATAATGGCTATGTCACTGAACTCCCATGTAGCCAACCGCGGCTCAAGTCCCAGACCCAGCGGCTTAAACTCAAGCTGGGCACGTGTGTGTGCGTGCCCAAGATCCTGAAAGGAGAATGGAAGAGAAGGGACTGTGTCATGGCTATTTCCCCTGAGGGGTGATTTCTTGCTTTCCGTCTGTCTGTCTTTCTGGCGCCCTATAGCAAAAACCTCTCCAAAAAAAAAACTAGAGAAAAAAAAAAGAAAAGCACATCATGACTTTTCTGACAGCCCAGTAGTAGACAGTTGGACGTGCATGTCTTGAGCCAAAAAAAAAAA